TTTCCACTGATTTGGGTCTGTTCCGCAGATTAAAGGGTGACTGAGATAGATTGCTTTCCCTTTTTTTTCTTTTTTCCTTCTTCAAAATTTTCAGCTTATTTGTGGTCAAAGGGGACCAATAGGTACTGTTATGGTTCATTGGAGATATTACTCACTTTTACCATCCGTTCAATCTCAAGGACCAGCAACTAACCCATCACAATTCTGTTTATTGTTATTTATAGAAAATAAGCACTAGTGCCATTGTCAAACTTAAGGCAGACGGGATCTAGGTTAAGAGGAGGTGTGTTTGAAAAGTTGTAATTGACACAGCTCGGACCTCGGTTGTAATTGCAAGTAGTGAAATGCATTTTTTTTTAATCCTGTGAGTTGATACAAATTTATGTTTGAAATTAGATTAGTGACGACTTTACCAATGGTTGTTGGGTTATATGCATTGAAAAAAAATTTGAGTTACAAAATAAGCATTATATGTTGTTCACAAACCTCTCATAATATACAAATTTATTTGCACGAGATAAAAGAGAATGAATTTGTGTACTTTATGAATTAATTTTTTTATCATTTTATTTTATTGGCGGACACACCTCTTTAAAACTTCTGGATCTGCCACTTACTTAAGGAGAATGATAATGACCGGGAAATAATGGACGCTCAATATGGTCTGGTTTTGGCGTTTAAGCCTATGAGCTTAAGAAGTTGCTTATTCATTTTTAAGTCGATTTTGAAAATTTTGCAAAGAAAGAACGAGTTCAATTACCACTTCTTTTCCCATTTTTCAGTTGTATCAATTTTTTAAAGGTTGATGTCATTTTTAATGTTTAATTGTTATTAATTTTTTTCTTTTAATTAAATAAAATATTATTTTTAAAATTTTATGATATTTGACACTTTACATTGAATCCAAACATTATTAATAATTTTTTATTGGGTTCAAAAAAATACAATTTCGTGATCAATGAATTACTCAATCGTTATTAATGGTTTCCATATCATTTTTAACGGATTCATGTCAATTTTGAATGTTGAAGTCAATCATTGTTAACATTTTTGTTTTTGTTTTTGTAAGGAAAACAACATTGTTTTTAACATTTTAAATAGTATTTGAAACTTAAAATATAATTAGAATATTATTAATGATTTTATGTTGGTTTTCAACAAAATTCACTTTCATAATCAATGACTTGCGCATTCATTATTAAAGATTTTCAATATCAATATTAATAGTTTAATTTCATTTTTTTATGTTAAATCCTATCATTGTCAACATTTTTGTTTTAGTTTTGAACGATGTGCAACATTCATATGAAGGGTTTGAATGATATTTTATACTTAAAATTGAGTACAAACACTATTAATGTTTTTGTGTTGTTTTCAATGAAATACAATTTTGTTATCAAAGATTTGATATATCATTATTTATGGTTTGGTGTTGAGGTGTAAATGTTAGCTTGGTTAACTAATGTTTTGAACCACCATTACTAATGTTTTGCACCACCATGAACTTTCCACTGATTTGGGTCTATTCCGCACATCATCACTTGTGCATTATATCACAAGTGTCGAACATATTGAAAATAAGCATTGTACTTTACAATCATCGAGAACGATAATATAAATCGATATCAATTGATAAAAAAAAAGTTAATATTGTCACTGAAAGTCATTGTAAAATGTCATGATTTGCTATTTATGAACATAACATGATAATATGAATCATTAATAAATATGTTGTAAATTAATGATAATGATATTCAATTCATGTGGTATAACTTCCATGATTTCTTCATAAGCGTTGATGACGAAAATATAATAGGTAACAACTGATCCAAATTTTTAATAATGTAATCGTAAAGCATTGATAGGTATATTAAAATCATGGGTAATTAGCACAAAAGATCAGAAAGTTTTGCACTTAGCACGAAACGGTCACAAATCTTTTTGTCAAAAAACGGTCACAAACCTTAAATTTTTCAAGTCGCTACTACAAAGAGCGAGAGTGAACATTTTTTATTTCAAAATATCATTTTTAAAACATTAAATTTCTAATTTTTAATTACGAATTTTCATATTAAATAATTGCCGAATTAAGGAGAGTGCGGAGTTGGTTTTTCTTTTTTAAGGTAATATATTAAATTTTTAATGACTTTGAATATTTTCTCATAATATTTCATTTGTCCATTTAGGTAGTTAGTCATCACTCCTCTCTATCTCTTCTCTTCCTATTGATAAACGATATTTTAATTGCGTATTTTAACGTGCAATGATCCTAGCCTTGCATAACGCACGGAAGACAGACTTTCACACGGCTAGAAAGAAATGTCAATGACGGCAGAACTTGAAGTCACGTTAGGCATTCTAGTTCCCGGTTCTTTTACCAAGGAAATGAAAAGCAAGAGATCCTTTTTCTTGAAATATAGACCAATGGAAGTTTAACTCCTAAAGAATCACTTCATGAAGGCAATTTAGTATGAAAATTAAAAAGCGGTACAATAATGAATAATCCTATGTTGATTTTTTTTCAAATGTAAGCTCCTTTTTTCGCATGTAAAAAAGGAATAAATCAATCAATCAAATTCCGGGAAACTTCATGAAGTGCTTCTTTAGGAGTTAAACCTATCCATTTACTTCCTCGGCCCAACTTTGATTTTTTTTTTTTATGTTCTTTACCAAGAATTTAAATAAGGTTTGGACTCACTCTGTTCCAGATCAAAATGAACTATATGTATAGAATTTTTCAACAAGATAGTGTTTTATCAACTCTCCCAAAATGGGACAAATCTAAAAAACAATCTTAAACTTATAGACTTAATCACAGGATTTGGCCTGACTCAATATTATATAGTTTCAACTGATGGAGAAACAGTTTGTGGCGACAGGTTTGACCAAAATCCTTAATTTCCCATCTCTGCTTAATTAAACCACTAGATTGTGTCTCGTCTGATTGGTCAGATAGTTTTTTTAGTGAATTAATATTTTGTTTTATAAAAAATTATGCGTCAAAATCTCTTCATTTTAGTTCGAAAAAAATATTAAATGTTTAAAAATTGTTACTTGGACAACTGAGTGAAATACCTAGAAAAATATTACATCTTCATTTTAAATTTTAAATTCCATATTAAAATTATAAGATACCTTATATTAAACTAAGTGCGGCTTAGAAGTTAAAATAATAATACGATTTTATTTAATATATGAATGACAAAATAAACAATTGCATATAGGCGAAAGTTTGAAGGATATCCGTGTTAATTAGTTTCTATAAATAAGTAAAAGTTAGACCTGGCAAATGAGGACCCGACCCGTTGACCCGAGCCGAACACACCCGAAAAATATAGAATGGGTTGAGGTTTTTATAACCCGAACCCGATTAACCCATAGTTTTTGGGTCGGGTTGGGTTGGTTTGTTGGTCGACCGCTAGACTCGTTTCATTGCATATGTTGCTCTCAAAATGATAAAATAACTCATACTTTGGTGAGATGTTTAAAAAAAATTATTAGGATTTGAAAGAAAAGTTTGGAGTGTTAAGATAATCAAACATCATTTGTTTATTGTAGTAGTATTACTTTCGTCATTGTTTTTTGACAATTTGTGCAATTTGTATTTCCTTTCATTAGCATGGAAGGAGTTGAGCATTTGTTAATTGACATGTGCTAGGTAAACTATTGGCACACATACGTAAAAATTTGTGTTCTTTAAAAATTTATGAAGCATGTTTGATATTGTTTATGAGAACGCTCATGACTCGAAATGACCCGAAACCCGATGGGTTGGGTCAATATTTGACCCGAAATCAGCAAACCCATCATGACCCGACCCCGACCCGTAAAGACCTGTAACCTGAGATTCCCAACCCGAGATTACCTAACCTGACTCGATTACTAGGTCTTGTAAAAGTAATTAGCTTGAACTTCCAAATTCATTGATAAATAAATTCTTGTGTATAAACGCCTTTGATCAATAATCTATTTTTTCTCTCTCTGTCTTTCTTTAACGAATTTCTCATTATTGTTTTTATATAAAAAACTGAATCATTATTTTATTGATCTATTGAAAAACCAATTCTTTTTTCGTTGGTTGTTGGTCCTAAGATTCGAACCCATGGTGTATTGGATGTTCTCATCCCCACATTACCACTAGGCTAACCCTTTGGGGTTCGAAAAACCTATTTTCATAAACCTATCAGAACAATTGTTATTGGGAAGGAATATGAATATGATACAAAATTATATTCTGCAATACCTTGTACAACTTTAATTTGTAACCATCTATCAAAATTTCATATAACACACTGCAAAAAAGACAGTAAGTTATTACCAAAACCGCATGATGACTACTTTTTTTGTCGCAAATTATCATAATTACCAACGAAAAAACGAAATTGTTGCAAAAGTAAATATTTTTCCTGACAAAAAAAATATCGCATTGGAAATGACAATAAATTGCGTCGAAAATTATATTTTAGGTATATTCGAGGGATATTGGGTAATTATTTATGACGAAATTTATTTTACCGTTGTAAATATGCAATAATATTGACAAGTTTAATTTGTGCGCCGATAATGTAGATGTATTACGACGCGGTAAATATTATCATTGGAAATGACAATAAATTTTCAGCATCAATATTGTTTCCTCGTAAATGTTCTTATTTGTGAGGATTACTATATACATCAAAACAACTTTTCAATTCCAACTAAAAATTATGGTCGTCATAAAATTTCCGTCAAAGAATTTTGAGAAAAGTCGTTTACACCCCCAGTGCCCCTATTTCACAAAACGGTAATTGATAATAAAAAAAAGAAACAAGATGGAGGATCGAACACTGTACCTCCAAACTAAAACAATATGACTTACTCCCTAGTTGCACTATACCTGCATTCATGACTATTCCCGATTAAACTCGGTTCATCGACGCACAAACTCGGTTCATCCCCTTCGTCCCTTCCGATTAAACTTACATTCAGTGTTAGAAAGTTCGCACAATACGCAGAGGACAATGTTAAAGACGAAGATGGTAAAATTAGGTGTCCTTGCACGGTCTGTTCTAACGTCTGCAACTCCTACAGAGGAACAAGAAATACCCACCCCTGCAGAAAGTGTTCATGTTGCTCATCAGGACACTGACCAAACATCCGAATATGTAAATGTGCTAGAAACTCAGCATGTGGAGCTTCCTTCCGATGACATTGCAATGGATACTGATGAAATGGTTTGGAGCACAGATGGAGAGGCAGGGAACCAGAGTAAGCACTTGATCATCTTAAGTTAATTTTTGTTTTTTCACGTTTACTGTGTAAAAGGTCTACTTAAGGACCAACGTATTCCGAATAAGGTTCTGGTAAGACGAGGAAAGGACGAGGACCTGGAAAAGGGGTGAAGCCAGGTCATGGAATTGTACTTGAATTCCATGACAATAGGTATGGCATGCTCGGTTTTCATTTACTGCATAACGATGTGTTGGTGCAATTGACAAATAGTGTGTGGTTTTGTATGTGTGAAAACTTTTTTGCAGGATTGTGACAACAGCAGCAGCCCGTGAATGTCGGCCATTTTCAAGAGGAGCATAAGTGCACCATGGATCACTTTCAGTGAGTATCCAGCAGCTGAGTAGGAGACCGTGATTGATCGTTTCAAGGAGTCTGGATTTGCCTACACCCTCAGGAGGAAGAGATGAATGCTCAACTCAAGGAACACATCAAAAGAAATTTCCCGCAGTGGATGTACTCATTCTGCAATCCTGTGTTCAAGGCGCATGCGACCGAGGCTGCCAGGATGAACAATCCACCAAATGCAATACCTCCACAGATTTAGCGGGAAATGGTTCGCAAATGGTCAAACCCTAGCTGGGTGGTAAGACCTTATGCTTTTATCCTATGTCGAGTAGTTTATTGTGCTATATAAATTAGCAACTTAGTTGTGCTTCTGATTTTTCCAAAACCTACAGGATACAAGTGACAAGAACAAGGAGAACCGTGAGAAGTGTGAGCTGAAGTCAACTTGTGGTTCTGCTCCCTTGGCAAAGTACAGATTGGAAGAGGTGTGTTACAAAACCAAGTACCTATTTCTTTTATTGTTTGATTCCCTTTTTTTGTATTTATGAGTGTGCTCTCATGTTGATTGCTTGTGTCTTTGTAGATCAAGAAGACGGGCAGTGAACCTGATCCTATTGAGACTTTCAGGAATTTTCATTAAACAAAGGATAATTTCACCACTCCCAAGGCTCAGGCTCTACATGTAAGTAAACACATTCTGAATTCCAATCATATTGCTTGGTGTTAATGTAGAGTTTAAGTGCATAGGGGAACCAGAAATACTAACAATAGTTTTTATCTTGATATGTTTAGTCTGGAATGAAGGCCAAGGAGGCAGAGAAGTTGAGCAAAGGGGAGGATGTGAACAAGTTTGCTATTTATGGAGAGGTGGTAGGCCAGCAACGAAGGAAGCGAGTGCTTGGGATGGGTTGTGGGGTCAGTGGCCTGGATGTGTTTGGCTCTACTTCAAGCCAAGGTTGCAGCAAAAAATGCAAAGAGGATCAAAGGATAGAGAAGGAGAAGAGCGATGAGAATGATGGAATAATAGATCGAGCAGGTGAACCATAATATGCCTCTGGTTGTCGAGGCGACGCTGAAGGGGCTTGGAATCCAGCTGCCAGAGTCGTCCAATGTAAGTCTGATCCCATTTTTCTTATGTATTATTAAATGTATGTATGTATGTAATGAATGAGTAATTCCCACTTTTCCTGTTCTATGCGATGATGTAGGCTGCAAACAGCAATGACATGGATGATGATTAAGAAGTTGATGGTGAGGAAGAAGATATCGACAGTGAAGATGACGATGAGGGTGATGGGACAAACTGATGATGCAGTGGTCGACGTGCAATGGAGGTCTGCAGCTAGGAGTGGTGTATATTCGTTGTATTTTTTCCTTTGTTAGATTTTAGCATCGCTCCATTAATGCAAGAAAGACGGTGGTGTTTTATGTTTTGTGGGTGCACTCGATTAGTGCAAGAAAGACGATGTTTAATGTTTTGTTTGTGCACTCGTTTAGTGCATGTAAGACATTGTTGTGTAAACCACATGTCTTAACTATCTAGTATATAAGACAATGGTGATCATATGACACCTTTCTTTATATCCAAGTAATTGTCTTTTAGTTATTTCGAATATTTCTAATTATTTATGAAATTGCAATTAAAATATAATATTACAATTGCATTGATAATAATTTTGACGATATGTAACATCATTTCCAACGCTTAATAATTTATTTGTGACAATTTATGATAATAATTTTGACGATATGTAACATCATTTCCAACGCTTCATATTTAATTTGTTAGGACAACTGGACCTCGTAAAACATATTAGTGACCAAGCAAATTTCATCACAACTAATTTCAGTGTCAAAATTTTTATTTTCGACCAAAATTATTCGATGCAAAATTATTCATCACAAATAATAATATTTATGACAAAATATTTTTCCCAACCAATATTATTAGTCGCAAAATAAAAATGATATTTTTTCTAAAAGTGAACAACAACAAATCCAGTTCCATCACTAATAATATTATTGTGACAAATTTTTTTCTGACCAACATTAGTTGTCGAAAATTAAAAAGGGTATTTTAGGAATTAAAATATCGATCCAAATTGTACAATTTTTCAACGAGTCCCAATCGTCGTAAATATAGTCGAAGGGTATTTGAGTCATTAACTATTTATTGCTAACAACATTTGGTTGTTAAGAAAAACAAAATTCTGTCAAAAATAAATTTCGTCATTTTCGGAGCATCAAGTATAATTTATTTATGAACATGATAATTTATGTAATGACATCCAACCATGTGTCACAAATATTCTTGTTATGACGCCCTAACCAATTTCCATTTTTTGCGATGAGACTTTTTCCGATGACGACCAACGACTGTATGTCGTCAAAACAAGTCATGTGCAACGAAGAAAGATAATTTTCAATGCCAAACTGTTGGTCATAACTAACCGTCTTTATTGTAGTGACAACAAATAACCCATGTAAGAATAAGATGGGTGGACTGATAGTTTCGTGCCTCACTATCAATCTTTTTTTTTTCTTTTACTGACACGAATTTAAAGGACATGGGAGAGATTTTACCAATTAAATGCGATTTATTCGTATCTTTTTCTTTTTATTTCAAAAAAAGTTAAAAATGCATAGCTATAACCCATTAATTATGTAGACACAATGTAATCCATTTTTCTATATTTTGAGCAAAATAATTATCCCTTCAAATGACTGTTGATACTTGATTGTAATCTTATCACTGTTATATCCGCACAAAAAGAAATTATTAATTATGATTTACACAATAATACCCATTTTGCTATATTTTAAGAAAAAATGAATTGTTTTAAAAAATGCATGCTTGTTGTAATATCATCATTATTATATCATGAATTACCACTATGGTAAAACTGACAACACTATCATACCATTGTCGTATTATGATAATATTAGTGTATATCATTAAACGACAATATTGAAGATATCAAATTTTTTTGCTCAAAGATAAAACTTGATATTGTCTTGTCACAGTCATACCAACATCATACAACTATGATAATAATTAATATTATCATCTCACCATTGTCATATCATAATCTCACCTGGTAAGATTGATAGCACCCTCACACCACTGTCATATCATGAGATCATCAATATCATGATATGACAGTATTAAGATGACGTAAAATATTTTGCTCCAAAAAATGTTAAATTGAATATCATTTTCAGCACAATTTTGTATCTTTTTACGCAAATATATTTGAAATTCGATGTAAAACGATTGAGATATGATCACTTGATTTTTCGTATGAGAGAGTTGAAAGTAATTTAACCTTACGGTTGGAAATCTATGCTTGGTACCCCCAATCAGCTCTGGGAGAAGATTAAAAAGCTCCGTCATTTGTTGTATGACTGGAGTAGGGCGGGTACCACTAATTCTCTCCGTCATATATGAACTCTCCAGGCCGAGATCGATAAGATTAAATTGGTCTCCCCAATTGATTGGGAAGCTGTGAGAACCTTGGAGCAGAGCTGAATAGGTAGTGGGAAGCGGAAGAAGTATATTGGCAACAAAAATCAAGGGTTCGCTGGTTAAAAAAAAGGCGATAAGAACTCCTCGTATTTTCATACGGCAACAAGGCCTCGTCGAAAACATAATTATGTGGCTGACCTCCGTAATGAGAATGGAGTGGATAACTGAGGAGGGAGGTAAGGCAGATATTGCCACTGATTTCTATCAAACTCTCTTTTCCTCAGAAAACCAGGTGCCTAATATGGCTGAACGAGTGGCTGAGCTACCAATAGATCTGTGAGTTACTAATGCCATGAATGCCAGTCTCAGAACTGCAGTCCTCCCTGAGGGAATTAAGAAAATGGTCTTCTCCATGGGCTCAAAACAGGCACCAGGATCTTATGGTTCACCCAAAAGTTCTTTAAATCCTACTAGGATATTGTCGGGGAGTCGGTCATTGCAACAGTATTTTCATTCTTCTCAATGAGTTGAATGCTTCTTAGTTTCAATCATACCTGGCTGACATTAATCCCCAAAGTTGACAATGTTGAGAACATGGGGCACCTCCGACCTATTAGCCTGTGTCAGTTTGTCTATAAAATCATAACCAAAATTATGTCAGAGAGACTGACGTGCCTGTTGCCTCAGATCATATCGGAGGGACAAAACACTTTCATTCAGGAGAGACAGATTGTGGAGAATGTCCTCTTGGGTCACGAATTAATGCACTACTTGAAAACAAAAACTTGGGGTAAGAAAGGGTACATAGCTCTAAAGGTTGACATGGAAAAGGCCTATGATAGAGTCGAATGGCCATTTCTCCTAGCAGTTTTGGACAAGATGAGTTTTAATTTGACCTGGCAGGGGTGGGTGCAGGAATGTTTATGATCGGCTTCGTTTTTGGTCCTGATGAATAACACACCCAAAGGTTACTTTCCGACCTCTAGGGGACTCCGGCAGGGGGATCTGCTCTCTACCCTTCTGTTTTTAATTTGCACAAAAGGGTTTGCAGCCCTCCTCTGGAAAGCTATTTCGGAAAAGAAATTGGAAGGGGTCAAGGTTGCCCCTCGTTCTCCTCGTATTTCCCATTTGTTTTTCGCCGATGACTCATATTTATTCCTTCTAGGATCTCCTCAGGAACGTGAGAACTTGATTACGGTGCTACATGGATACGAGGAACTGAGCAGCCAGCAAGTTAACTTGGCTAAGTCAGTGGTTTGTTTTAGCAGAAACATCGTTGTGTCGGATCAAGAATTTCTCGCTTAGATCCTGGGTGTGGGAGCCGTTGGGGTTCAGGATAAATATTTGGGTTTGCCTACCCTAATCACCTGGTCCAAAATGGATACTTTTCTGTATTTGGAAGAAAAATTGTTGGCTCGATTTCAGGGATGGAAACGGAGGACTTTATCTTGGGAGGATAAAGAGACTTTGATTAAGTCGGTTGCGATGGCTTTGCCTTTACATGTTATGTCCTGTTGGACAAGCATGTTGCCAGGTTTTGGTGGGGGGTAGAAAATGGGCAGTGAAAAATTTGGTGGATGTCCTAGCGAGATATGTGCAGGAGTAAACATGATGGTGGGATGGGGTTTCGTCGGTTTGAACACTTCAATCAGGCGCTCCTTGCTAAAATTGGGTGGCGCAACTTGAAGGATCCAACCTCTCTTCTTGCCCAAGTTTACAAAGGGAAATATTTCCCGAAAGGGAGTTTCCTTGAGGTTACTGCTCGTTCTCGCCCATATTGGGGCTGGCAAAGCATCCTGTTTTGTCGGCAGCTGTTGGAGAAGGGGCTTAGATGGCAAATTGGTAATGGTCAGTCTGCCCCGCTACTTCATACTAGCTGGGTGCCCCGGTTACACCCTGATGTTCCTACTTTTAACCCCCGGATTGTACCAGAAGATGGTAAAATGGTGGTTGCTGATGTTTTATACCCAGGGGAAGGATGTTGGTGTGATTTAAAGCTTAGCTAGTGGTTTAATCCATCCACTTGTCGTGCTATTAAAGAGATCCCTCTTCCACGACTTGAGGTTGCGGATCACCTTGTGTGGCATGAAACGGTCGATGGGGTTTTTTCGGTGAAGTCATCCTACCATTTGACAGTCTTACTCGATAAAAGGAGGGTAAATGGCGATCGCTTGCGAGTTTGATGGACAGACCCAGTTGGATTCGGTTATGGGAAACACCCCTTCCCCCCAAGCTGAATTTTTTTGTGTGGCAAGTCTTTAATTGGCTCATGCCTACGACCGAAGCTCTTTTTGAGCAGGATGTTCAGGTTCATCCTCGATGTCCGGTTACGATAGAGCATTTGTTCCTTGATTTCTCAATTTGTAGGGCATTGTGGGACTATGCGGGGCTTGAATATCTCGGTCAATGGCTTACTCGACACAATTTTCCATTATTCTTTAAGAAACTTATGACGCTTATCCACCAGCCTCAGCTGGTTATGGTTGTGGCTGCAATCCTGTGGCGAATATGGCGTTCTCGTAACTGGGTTGTCTTTGAAGGCAAGAAGTTTGGGATACTAGCCCTCATGCAGGAATTCCATCAGCAGTATCAGGAATGGATAAGTTTGCCTGTTGATAGGAATCCGCGAGCCCCTGCCCCTGCCGTTCAACCTGTAGGAGATTTCACCCCTTGCTCGTTGGTTTGTCAGTGGGATGGGGCTATCAAGCGTGCATCCCACTCGACGGGTGGGATGGTTGCTATGAGCCAGACAGGGGTGGTTCTTCTGGCTAAAGGAGTCCAATTTGTTGGGATTGAAGATCCTTTGATTGCTGAGGCCCTTTCGTTCTGGGAGGCAATTGTTTGGTGTGTGGTGTCCGGGTTTACGGAAATGCGATTTAAAGGGGACGCCAAGGTGCTTATTGATAAAAATCAAGCA